CAATTTATCCAAACAAGGATTTGAATGGGTTGAATTGAAGTTGTATTTCAGTTTTTTATTTCTATTTGTACATATGTCAGAGTGACTCAGAGTTTTAAAAAGGTATAAGCCGTGCTACTTGCTACAACATAAAATACATAGGGCTATAAGTTGTAGTTCAGGCTTTTATTTAATAAAACCAAACTTGTGAGTGCAACCCTAGCAGACCTGACAAATAAGCATTGACCTTATGTTTTGTTTTTTAATGCTTATTTTGCTCATTATATCTCTCATTACATATATTTATCTTTTGATTCAAAATCTTTAGTTGTTGTACATCATTTTACTTTAATTAAATGTGATTTCCCCCCCCCCTCTTGTTATTGATGGGGAAACATAATCTTAGTAAATCACAACATGCAGACATAAGTGCTTTTTAGAAAAACTACATATAGTTAGAAGTATGTTGTTTCTTAATGGGAAAGTGACTCATGACGTTAGAAAGCCATTTATTGCATGCAATTCAGCAATGAGACTTTGTACTTTAATGTTCCCTACAATGACTTTGTCTTTCTATCTTTGTCCTTCTCCAAGAACATTCAGACCATTTAGATCATCATTAGTCTTCAGTTAATGTGCAGACCTGAAAAGACTTAGAAAGACAGAGAAAAACTGAAAGGGTATTAGAGGAATGCAAAACCCTAGGTAGTGATGTAGATGTTTCTGGAGTAATTCATCTTAATCAAATCAAAGTGAGCCCACTGTTGGAGAGTCTGAGAGATTCATTATGGAGGAGCTCTTGTCTGAACAATGCCAGGATCACATGTCAAATGACAGAATGAAAGATGAGAAATCGTAATCATCCTCCTGGACTGATATATTCTCTCCATTTTGCACAATTTCTGATCTTCTTTGGCTGCCCCAGTGACAAGCCTTGGGGAAGGTAATTTCCCCTTTTATTGATGTAGATTGTTTTCTTCTTTGGAAATATTTCATCATTGACCAAACCCCTCTGAGGAGGGATGAATCAAACACCATCTCAAAAGAGCAAATTCCTGTTCAGACATTTTAACATAGATTTATCCCGAATCCACAAAGTTTACTAAGTTTGACAATCTCTTACTGAGAAGCTAATAAGATCATTAATGTTTGAAGCCATAAAATGTGAACAATAGATTTATTTTAATTAAACTATCCTGGTTCCAATCGACCAAGATTTAAGCCAATAAAGATGTTGAGCATTCCAAATAAATCAAAGCCTATGTCTGAAGCTGAACTAAAAACCACAGAAAAGCCAGATTTTTATTTTTTTTAGTAGTTGTAAATTTTATTTACCTACAAGTTTGCTCTGATCAATGTTCATTTGGGAATAAAAACTAAAAAAGATCATGAATAAATTTCATTGTTTAGCAATGGAAATATTACACATAAAAATTGAGTCAGTGTATTCATCACTGTAGTCATTAATCCTACATATCTAAGTGATAAATGAATGCAGGGGTCTACCATTTATCTGATCTAGAACATGAAGCACTTTTTCCTCAGTCTTGTCCTTGAATCTAATTTGAATGCATCACTTTGTAAAACCAAAGAGGACCGACTTTTGCGAGGATGACTTAGAGATCAGATAAGAAAACAGAATCATCTAGTTGTAAATAAATAAATCTAGAAAGTTTTAGTTGTCCTATGAAAATAAAAAAGCATTTTGATTTATTTCCCAAGATTTGTTCTTCAGGTATTTTTTTATTTTAGCTTGAGGACAAAGAAAAATAAAAAGAATGATTAAACCACTCTAAGGTCTATTTTTGCACATGAAAAATTACAAAGCAGAGCCATGAACATACTAGTGGAGTCACAACCCTGCCATTTTTGGCTTGACCTATATTTTACAGCTTCGGCTTTTCCTGCCCACCAGTTACTTTCAAACAATGCTGCTGTCCGTTGTTTCGAGATGTGACAGGCGTTCATTATTAACAGACTGTGGGTTGAAATGCAGGCATGGTGGCTTGAAGGGCAAGTCCGTTCAGTAAGTGCTGCTGTTTGTGCAAGTGGAAGATCAGGGAGTTTTCTCTGCTGCAGGGTGAGAAGAATAACAATGACTCTGGTTGTAATCAGTGCAACACAGCCATGGTTGTCCTTTAATGTAGGCCAGTGGGTTGACTTTTTGGAATGGAAAAAAGACACAAAGCTAAAACTGTTAAAAGTGCTGTGTATATTGCACTAGATTTACAATCCAAGTGTATAAGTACTCTCATGACTGACATGGATGTCATAGGACAGATTGACGCTACTTTTAAATATCAGTAATGAATTCTCATTAACTAAACAATCTAATTATCAATCTGATATTAACTATTTTTGTTTCCCATTGAATGATTAGTTGCTTAGATATTTAAAAAGACCCGGGGTTAATCCATTTTTTAGCACTGTAATTAATTTCTGTCAGAGATAATCACTTAAGCCAAGATCATAGAAATAAAAACCCAAAACAGAAGAAGCCGCTGCTTCAATTAAAGTGTAGATTTATTTGCAATCAACATAATTTATGATTATAGAGCTTTACTGATGAGAAACATGGGCAATGGACTAAAGTAAGAAAAGCATAGAAATGCAAGAAAATACTTCATTCAAACAGCTTTGGCTGAAACAATTAACTGACCTTCATCTAATCAGTCAATAGATTCACGCTCTACGAGCTGTAAGACCTTCACAGACATTTTCTTGATCCTTTGTTTAAAGGCTTCTTGTCTCTTCTGATTACTTGTTGGTTTGTGTTTTAAACTAAAAGCATGTGTTGTTGATTCTTTGAGCAGACTGACCAGCTATTAATACTTTATCCGTCATGACTTGTGAGTGGAGGGTGGATCAAAGTCCAAAATGAATTTTGGACAAATATAAGAAAAAAATTTTTTAACAAAGAATCCAAAAATGAAGCAAACACAAAAATTATTGAGAACACAGGGAGCCAGAGCAAAAAACACTGGAGCTGGGTAAAAAGATAGGGTAAAACAAAGAAATAAGATCCAGCTAGGACTGGAAGAATAAATAGAGAAGACTGGGACTGATTAGATAATGGTAATGCTAAAGAAAAAATAATGACGCCAAAGTAAAACAACAGTTTAAACATGTTTTAAGCCAGCAACATTTTGGGTGATTGAAACAAGAATTACTTTTAGCAAGCATAACTGTATATTTAATGACACCAGAAACAAGCTTTTGTACCTGAGTTTTGATCAGACTTTCCACACATCTTGACTGTACGCATTAATATGCAACATGGTCACAATGGCTCAAATCAAAGGATGCAATCATTACAGTTAATAACTGACATCTGTTTTAAAGTGAGAATCTGGCAACTTTCTCAGAAATTACATGTAATTGTGCGCAGGAGCTGCATACCTCCGCCTGGCTGCTATCAAAAAGAAAATTCATTTATCATCACATATTCACACCCTTCTTGTTGGGCAAGGTTGTGTTTTTCATATCTGAATCACATCTCTTTGAATGTACTAAAAAGATTGATCTCACTCTGCTTCTTTTTTTTCTTTTAATCTGGTCACATTTGAACCTGGAGTCACAGAGTGAAGCTTATCAGTTCAGGTCTACAACCTTGTGAAGCTCCAAAATCTAATATCTGCAGCACATGTAAGAGAGAAAATATAAAATAAATATTAACTTGTGTTTGAAGAGAGACAGAAAGAGAGTGAAAGATTCAAGCAGCAATGAAGATTAATAAAACTGAAAGCAACAATGTTTGTTTACCACTATTAAATACATTTAGGTGCAGTTCAGAGTGATTTTACATGGTGGAAAAAAGTAAGACTTTTTGATTTCTGGTTCAGATGGATATTTTTAAGCATAATTTTAAACCATCTAATTTTAAAGTTCCTTTTTGATCATAAAAACTGATTATGTTTTGATGCTGCTTTGTTTTGGATGAGTTGTTGCGAAGCAGGCTTCCAGAACGAAGACCAGACTCGACACCCAGCATTACTCAGCAGCCTTGTCAGCTGTGGTACAATTGTTTACGCTTGTGTAAATCAAGAGGAGGAAATGTGACGGTGCTAAAATAATTAATGCTATTTAAACTAACCTTATTGTGGGGCTTTACATTAATTGAGCAATGAAATTAAAAGTAATCTCCTGCTGCTGGATTTGTCTGAGGAATAAAAATTTTTCTCTCAAGAGCATTTGAAAGAACGTATTATCAAGCAGTTCAGAAAGGTTTTTGTTTTTATTATTTAATTTTCTAAATATGTATTGATGCACATGATTAATACTGCTCTGAAGAGGCGATATTTTATTTGTTCTTGCAATTTTATGTTGATTAAGTCTCCTATATATTGATAGTTCCAAAAAGGCCTTTCTTTTATGAATGCTCTTTTTTTTTTCATTCTTCATAACACAAAAAAAATCTCAACCCTCACATTGCAACTACCCTTTCCATCTGCAGTGATCAAATAATACACTCTAAAGTTCTGCACCACTTCAGAGCCGTAATCTTTAAACATCACTGCTCAGTTATTTTCCTCTCTAAGTGAATGTTCACTAGTGAAAATCTTTCTGTAGTCACTGCATGTTGCCACTTCTGATCCCAGAAACAAGCAGGAGGTGGAGAACTATCTGATCTCAGTGCTCAGTGCAGCAGAATACAGCCTTGCGCTGGTCCAAATCAGCCATCTTCAAAGTCTACAGATTCCCAGTTTTTCTGGCCCTCCAGTCGTCTGAAAGCAGCAGGACCTGGATGCTGGGCTGACCTTATTAAGTGCTCATACTGGAAAAGGGCTGCAGCCATGCTGATAAAATCTATTCAAATAATTTGGTAAATGCAAAGCACTGCTTTTCTGACCATTGTTTTATGATTGACTGTGTGTCAAACTGAACACCTTCTGAGAACGAAGATCTCAAGAATATCGACAGAAAATGGAGAGATTTGTGAGAACGTTCATACACCCATCTGTTACTAAAACTGTGTCAATAATAATTAAATAAATTCCTGAACAAAACATTATTTTTTTCAGATCAGAAGACGCAGACCCACGCCTGCAACTCTGGTGGCATCCAGTGATCAGTCCTCACCAGGTAGGAGACACATGAAAATAACATCCTATAAAGAGACATTTTTTTTTCCCTATTTTTAGTTGTGTTTCACACACACACACACACACACACACACACACACACACACACACACACACACACACACACACACACACACACACACACACACACACACACACACACACACAAAACACAGTTTGAAATAAAATGCTTGAGTATCCTGAGTCACTATTAAATGCAACTTCATTGACTGAAGTCATTACTCCAAAATCTTGCATATTCTTCAGGCTAACATTTTAAACACAAATGAGGAAAACATATTCCTGTTTTTCAGGTTCACTGCACTTATTCTGCATCTCATTCCTTGTAACCACGAAATGAATCTTCCTGCAGCATCACAGCACCAAAACCAGCTAAGAGTTCTCTCGTGGGAACTTGACGATCAAACATAACAGCGAACCTCTGAGGACTTTTCTTGCTGTATGAGTCATCCTCCCTGGTTTCCTCACTCCCTCTGTTGATTTGGGAATATATTTATGTGTAAAGTGACCCACAACAGAATTAAAAGATGAACGCAGAGAGAATAATTTTCTCCTGCTGGTATTCTCTGAATGAGGCATGAAGTGATGAGTCATGATAAACAGAAGACTATTAGTATGCTCAAATCTCACAATTTGATATTTTCCCCACAGAAAGTCCCTCAAGGCAAACATAAATCTTGATGCATATTTAAAATTGTTTCCTTGTATATAAAAATAAAATTTTAAACCATAAAAGCCATTTTAAGAAAACCAAAGACCATCTGAAATCAATTTGCTGAATAAGTTATAACAAACTAAGGAAGCTGAGCTGAATATCTGCAGAGAATGATTAATTACATACAGGTGAGGTCAGAACATCTTAGTTTTATTCACGAGTCTCACCCAGGGCAATTTTCTCTTTCTAAGCATCCCTTAGAGTAGGACAACAAAAACAAAAAAGTGTTTTCGGTGCTTGACTCAATCCCAGGTAGCAAAAATACCACACAACATTTTAATTAGGTTTTAATGTAACCCATTCTGGGTCAAATATCTTCGCTTGGATCTGAGTTGCTTTAAATATTTTAGGTTTTCAACTAGATATGAGCAAAATGCAATCCAGATTACTAAAAAGGGTGGCCTTGTGAACAAGCACTTTGCTTTGCTGCAGAACCGAAAGCTTCACATTAGATCCAAAACATGGTTTCATTACCCAGTCTCGAGGTGCAGCAGCCATAGTTTCTATGCCGCACCTGATGGGATGTCTCTCTGGGACTTAATATATTGTTGACGTTAGTGGGTATGATGATTAGCAATCAGGAACAAGTCAAAATGGGATCAGCAAATAAACAGCAATTAAAGGTAGCCGTGAACAAATTGTCTTAGATGAAAATTATGTTGTTTTTGTAGACATTGCTCATTGTTCACAGCTATTAATGTGCTTTAAGTTTGTTTAAATTTCTTTTTAAATAGTTAGGTAAAAACCCTCACAGTAGTTTAAAGTATTAAATCTTTCTCATATTCATCTTGAGGGGATCCGTAATCACTTCTAATTGCCACAAGCAGCTAAAGAAGTTTCATTGTCGTTGAAGTGCAGCTATGTGGCTTGCTTCTTGCTTAGCTCTCATTAAACCTCCCACAAATGTCAAAACGAAATTAAAAACTGAACTAATGAGGTGGACTAAGTCAAGCAGATGCAAAGACACACTGAATCAGATGCAGACACACAATATCACAGCTGTCGTGATCAGCTTTTATGTGCTTTTGTGTGAGAGAGTAAAAGCTTGTGGGAGGGGGATGGGGCTGAACAGTTATGATGATCAGAAAGAAGAGCTGCACTGGTGCAGTAATGGTGTGCCCCACATCAGATAAATCCCTGCATTATTAAATGCGCTGCATATTGCTCTTCTCTATGCACTGTGATCCCCAAAAGCACATCAGAGGAGCAGAGACAACCAAGATACACACTGAGCATAAAATAATGAAGATCATGAAGAGACTGAGGGTGACTTCGGTTTTCTTCAAGCCTGACCCTACAAACTGGAGGGTTTCTTATGTTCACCGATTCTTGAAGTAACTCGATCAAATATGTGTGGAAGAAGTGCTGACTTGGTTCTCTCTTGAAGATTTATTAGTGAAATCTAAATTGCTTCATGCAAGTGCACAGAATTAAAAATAGCCATCATTCCTCCTAATTCAGAAAGTGTTAAATATTTTCAGCTGTCTTAAGAAATGTTATGAACATTGGAGTTGCCTGTCATATCACTTTGCTTTATATGCAATTTGTAAAACCTAAGTATTTTACATAGTGCCAGAGATTGCAAGATCTTCCTCAGTCTTGCAAAACAAAATTGATTTGTTTTTTTTTATTGGATTTTGTAGCACTTTAAAAAAATAAAGTACATTTATTACTCCCCCCGGGCCACAGATCAGTAAATAATAAGGGATTCAGTTTCCCTCCAAACTTTCAGTTATCAGTCAAATTTTCTTTGCCACAGATTCCCACCTGTCTAAATTGCAAATGTTGTGTAACCTAAGGAACGGTAAACTTAGTGAGACCGTATTCATTTTAGGTGAAGATTGAATCATAAGACAAAGAAAAAGTGAGAATTTGACTTGTCAGCAGTTTAAAAAATTTTTAATAGTAGTTTGTGTGTTTTCCATCAAAATTAAAAACATCAACAGATGTTTTGCAATGGAATATATGTTTATTATTCAATTCTTACCATCTTAGATATTAGATTTAGAGTCCTGTTTAGGATTTGTTGAAATAGCTATAACAAATAAAATGTCCAAAGGTCCACAATCTTCCCACAGTTTTCTTCTAGTTTTAGCTGATTTGTATATGAAAGGAGACATGAAGACATGAGATAAATCATGTTTCTATTTTCTTCATTGCTATCATTAATTCTGTTGTGAGCTTGCATCTGCTGCAGAAGTACACTTGGTGGTTCCAGCTTCAGCATGAAAAGAAAGGAGCCACTTCTTTGCAACAATAGACAAAACAGGCTCTTCCTTTCATACTCTGAAGGAGAAGCAGGATTACACACGAGACATTTATTCTTTAGTTTATCAAATACATCAATATTTCACTGCAGCACGAATTTTCAATCGTTTGTCAGACAATGCAATTGGTTGTATTTTCTCCTGAGCATCTTTGAACTGAAAGTAGTTTATAGTTTAAACATATTAGAGGCGACTGGCTGCGAGTCAGAGGAGTGTCTCTGTTTTCATCTTGTTGTGTTTCATCCAGTCGGCTGGGAGTTGCAGTGATGGACTCATCACTACTGGAAAAAAATTTTTTACTGGCTTTTTTCCTCATTCAGCAGCACAGATGGGCCGCACACAGAGATGAAACAATCTGATAAGCAACCATTTTAAGGCCAATCTTTATTTTTGTTGACCCAAATTGTTTTCAATTTTTGTTATAACTCAAAGTACAGCTTCTTGTTGTTTTCAGGATTTCATTCAATCTACTGTGATTTTAGCAATTGAACCATGACCACTTTGATCCTGTATAAATGCATCTGCATTTGATTATAATTTCTTAATTGCCCAGCTCCCACTATGTTGCCCATTTCCATGTTTTGATGATGAAGGCAGCTCGTCTTCTTCCACAATAATGTCTCATTTGGCTCTCAGCAGGTGTCTGATTAATTGAAATACTTGAAAACAGCTGAAAAAAGGGAACTGAATTTGCATTTTTTAAAAATGACATTCAAATGAGATTCAAAGCAAGGTTGACCCATTTCACACTTTATAAACCAGTTGTCATAAGGACCTGAAACAAGAGCAAACTCATTATTATACAGAATATAGAAAATTTTAAATGAAGGGAGAAGAGTAAATGTGGCTTTTTTGTCCTATGTTGCTTGGTTGTTGTTTAATGAACCATATTCATGTTGCTTCTCCATAGCTTTATGCAAAAGTATGAATGAAACTGAGAGAAAATTGAACTTTTCCAAAATATTTAAAACAATACTGAATTGAGTGTATTTTTGTAAAGAAAGAAAAAATGCATAACAAATATAATTAAAATAACATTTAGTAGCATTTCTGAAGGTCTTTATTCACTTCTGGATTAGAGTTTAGTGCATAAAGAAAATGAAAGAAATAAAAGCACTATCTTTTTGAACAGAGCATACGTTTAAGTAGGAATATTATATGCAAGTTGGCACGCAAGCACACTCACACGCAGACGAACATCGTTTGCAGTGCCGAGGGATGCGTAGGTTGCCAAGCAACTAGGTGGTGTCCTAGAAAAAAGTTTCAAGGCTGTAAAGCAGATTTTGATGTAAGTTAAAGATGCTCACTGTTGATCAGAGGTTTTACTGTAACAGAGTCAGCTATTTCATTTAACATGTTTTACCGCGTCAGCTCTAAGGCCTGTACTTGTACAGCACTTTCTCAAGTACAGAGAACTCCAAAGTAATTTACACCATTCAGTCATACAGATGGTGCTAAGCTACTTTGTAGCCACAGCTGCCTTGAAACGAGGCTGCCATGCATTTGGGGCCACAGGGCCAAACGGTGTCATGTAATTTGAAATTTAATCACATTTTAGAATCTCATACATCTTGTGATTTTGCAATTTTCAAAGTATTAGTAATAATTCTCCACTTTACATGGTGGAAAGTTAATTTTTTGCAATTTAATATGGAAACATGTTAAACAAGTTGAACATGCTGAACCACAAGACAGACCCAGCTCAAATATTATGTTTAAATTCACTTAAAAGGGACAAAACTAAACTGAGTTTGAGTGCCAGATGGCTCAGCCGGTAGAGTGGGGTCCTTGATGTGGTCGTCCCGTGTCTGACTCCCAATTTTGGGCAATTAGCTGGAAGTCTTTTCTCTCTCCCTGCTTCCTCTTCCTCTTATTTCATGGTCATTTACTGCTAAATAAGGGCCACTAGAAATAAAAATATCCTGTAAAATATGACAGGACAGTTAGTTGTCCAGATGTTGTTTGCGTAACTTTGGTTAAAAATGAAATACAAAAATGACAAAATTTTTAAAAAGTACATTTAAAAAGTCAAACATGATCAACATCATAGCAAATAAACTTGTCTTTTCTGACTACATAGAAAATAGGTTTACACGACTCATAAGTTGCAGGAAAGTTTTTTTGTCTTTGAAGGTGGATGTAATCGACGTGCGTCGTCGTGTTGTGAGGCTCAGTGCTGGGCAAAAATCAGGCCCTTGTATCAGATATGTGATGTGGGCGGAGGTCATCTTCTCCTCTCTGCTCTCTCTGGATGCACAGCTCCATCTACGAACACAAAATCTGAAACAGTTTTTTTTTTGTTGCAGTATTGTGTTTTTTTCTATTTCTGTATCCAGAACTAAAGTGATTGTTTGCTTTGTGACAGAAATAGATGAGGATCGGCTTCCAAACCAGCTGTACAAGGTAATTCAACCAAGCTTTCTAAAACACAGATTCACTGAAATGTGATTATTAAAAATAATTTAAAAAAAACTCCCTCGACTCAATTTTCATTAAATTGAGTTTCAGCTCTATTCCGTCTTAGTCGATATGAAATGTTGATATTTTCCAGGCTGCTCTGTTGAATTCTCCCCGACAACGAAGAAAAGGACAAAAGGGGACACCAACCATGAAAGGTACACTGTTTTATCAACCTTACTGTCTCTGTCGCATGTGTGAACTTTAAATAAATTCCTCTCCCTGAATTAGATTTTTGTTTTCAGTATGAATGACTTTTGTTTAATGAAAACATGAAGTAACATGACCAAAAAGAAGGTGCTATTGTTGCATCCCATTTCCACTTTTTAGGTTTAAATCACTTCTAGTCACTATTGTCAGCACAGTACAATCTGCATAGAGTTGGCTGGTTAGTGAGGGAAGTTATTTCTATCTTTAGGGTCCAATTTTTAACTTGGTCTGTCATTGTGGCTCTTGCTTCGCCGAGAACTCATTATGCGATTTTTAGACTGGATCTCCCCTCCAGTCTCTATGTTTTGGATTATAAAATTGGCCTACATTAGAAAAACTCTATTGGTTTTTGGAACTTTTATATGATGCTAACAGTGGAGGAAACGAATGCCAGGGAAAATGAGCAAGTTGATTTACAACAAATCAATAAAGAGGCTAAAAAAGTGCACAGTTCTGAGGGAGGGACGATCATATGTAGTCAAAGTGACAGAATTTTTTATTAGGATGAAGAATAAACATTTGGAGACATATATTTGAATGTTTGTCTTTTTGACAATTTGTTTGGGGTAATCTCTGATGGTCAGAAAATTTTAGTGGTTTAGTTTTGAACATGTTTAATCAGTGGTACATTTTTTCCCCCCTTAATAGTGCAGGTGGTTAATTTAATAGAAAACATTTTAAGCTGCTAAAAGTCTTCAGCTGGACTTCTTCGTCCTACAACAAACTCTTCATCCTTAAACTTCTTTTCTCTGTTTGGTCTTTTCGTCCCCTAATGTCTTTCTTGACGTCCCTCCTCACAGAGCTGCAGTTTCTTGTAGAACATCACCTGTACAGGCAGCAGCAGGGAGCTGGAGACGAGTGCTCCTCAGAGAGCTGCTTGTCTGACCGGCCCAGTCCCGACTCTGTTCCCACTGGTGAGGAGCTCCCACATGATGACGATGCCACTGCAGAGGCCTTTGAAAAGCTGCGCTGCCAAATGGAAGGTAAGTTAGAAACCAAAAAAAAAAAAAAAAATGCAGGGAATAGATAATAAATTGGTTATGTATGTAGTTCTTAAAACCCACTTTATAAGCAGTTATTGCGGGGTACTTTGATTGTACACTAAAATGTTAAGTCGTTATTTTTTGACACTGATTTCTTCTCTTCAAGCTATAACATTGCAAATGTTTTTGTTAAAGCCACTACATGCATAAACATCTTTGCAGATGCTGTCTGTCTGAGCTAAATTATTTTACTTTCTCTGACAAAAATAGCCTTGCCTGGCGCAACCAATTCAATGTAATGGGAGGTAGAGTTAATAGCACACACTAACAATATTTGTAATTGCCCTCGACTAATGCATTCTGAGTGTAATGGGCTTATTTTCCTGAAGCAGTAGCAGTGTTTAAATTTTATATCAGCCCACAGTGTTACATACAATACAGAAAGCCGCCTGTCAAGATTGCAAGATGATTGTCCTTTCTTTGAAACTTTCGCCAGTGGAGGCTTAAATGAAGTTCTCCGTCTGGATGAAGGAAGCAAAGCGGAAGCTGGGGAAAGCAAATCAATGACCATTAACACCAGTTCTGTCGAGTATGGATTCACTCAAAGATCAGTGGTTTAAATTTGTTGTAAGGGGTAAACAACCTTCAACTGTAAATGCCAGCTGGCATTGACTGATGAAAGGTGGAGCAGCTCTGTTCATCACTTGAAAACTACTGCTGCAGGATATCGTTTCGTCTTTAGCACGTTGAGTTTTGTCTCTGGCTGTAGTTTCTCTCTGATCAACATTCATCTGACTCTCTGCTCCCTGCAGAGTTCTCCAGGGAGAGCCTATTAGATGCTGGCGGTGAACTTGAGTGCCCCCTTTCCAAGGAGAAAAACGATTGTGTGGCCTCTGTAGCAGATCCCTCGTCCCAGAAAGAAAATGCACTAACAGGTAAACAAAGATCAACCTCGCTAAGACGCAAATCTTTTGCTCCCACATCTGTTTCTGTTTCACAAAGGGACACTTTCACTGTCCATTTACCAAGTACACATGGTTTATTTATGCAAGGTAAACAAGATTTGGTCAGTGTCAAGTAATCATGGCTTGTCAATAAACAACTGGAAAGTGGCCTTGACTTCATGTGTGAAATATCCAGGAAGAGAGTCACTCAGCTGCTGGAGGCATGTAACTGAATATCAAGGTTGAATATAGATAGATGCTAATATCTAAAGTGTTTAAACAAAATCTAAAAAATATTTGTCCTTGCCCCAGGTAAAAATCTTCAGTTTACTATTTTAAAATAATATTCCAGCTAATATGTTACTAGCTATTTTACAGGATCCTAAGCAGGACTCAAACACTCTGCAGACTGAAATAATTATTACCTTATGCAGCAGATGGCTTAAGAAACCAACAGACTATCACTGGAAAAAGGACAAAGATTGTGTGATACTTGACTGGATGCAGGATTTGCAAATCAACATGTATCAATAGGTTCTTTAAACAGTAAAATCTGCAAACATCTTGATGAAATAGCAAGGAAATAATGCTTCTTTCAACCGAACCAGAAAATGTATTCTTCATATTTTTGGTTTTCATGCATTTAAATTCCCTGGGAAAATTGAAACTTTGACATATAATCCCATCAACAGGTTCCTAAGGAGATGTCGGAAACTGTAAATATGCAAAAAGGACAAAATTTGTTTTTTCATGAAACATTGTGTGGTCTAAAATAAGTAAAATTTATTTATGTAGCACCTTGTGCAGTTGCGGATCACTAAGTAAGTACCTCACAAAGAGAAAGTAACAATTAAAAAAGAATTAAACATTGACAAAAGACAAATAATGTATTCAAAAATACTAACAATGAAAAACAAATGTTGCAATTTTTAAGTATGCTGGAATAAAAATGTTTTTGCTGCCTTTTGAATAGGGCAAAACCCTGAAGGCAATGGAAAAACAAAACAAGCTTGTTTGCTTGTTGTAAAAACAAAAAAGACTATAAGGGGATACAAGACCTGTGGTTTTACAATGAGTTAATATTGAGCATGAATATTCTTCAATAGGAAAATATTCTTATCAGTAATGTATTCAAAATATATCTGATGCTATGGAATTGACAAAGAATGCAACAACTACATATATTTATACAAAAATATTAAATGAGGTAAGATACACTTTCAAAAGAATAATATGTTACCAAATATTCATTCACTTTTCATGAAATTTCTCCAAAGAGTATTGAATCAAAATCATGCCTCCGTTTCTCAACTCTTAGTATTCGTTTGTCTGCATTTTCAGACACAAAGGCAGGAGCATCCAGTGAAGATCAGCCCTCAGGGAAGAAGACGAAGAAAGTCAGCCTCGAGACAAAGAAATAAAGACGTCTGTGGAGCCAAATGTTGTCCAGTCTGCTCAACACACTGACAAAAGATTGTCCATGCAGATTGAGGAACATCAGGGCATCGCTATACCTCTGCAGCCAGGCTTTAGTTACCACCTCAAGAATAAGACAAAATATTTCTTTATCTGTTTGTGAAAATTAAACCACATTTTTAATAGTTTTTACTGTACTGCTCTGAAGCTTGCCAATTGTGTGTCTAATCTGAGATTCATGCATCAGTGACATTCATAACTGTGCTTCATACATGATATTCCCTCGTCTTGATCAAAACAAACAACCAAAAATAGGACAAGACTTTCTTTTAGAGATGTTTTAGTTTGTGTTATGAGTTTCCTATTTCACGTCGGATCAATAAAATGGATCAGCACATCATAAACAAAGGGATCTAATGAAGTTTAAATTGTAATTAGAATAATTAGGGCCTAATTATGTGAGCAGTGTGTTGAGCGAAATTTATGCGATCACCTAAAACACATGCATCACCTAAAACACATGAGCAAATCATAACTTGCTGAGCTATGATAACTGATTAATTATTGAGTTCAAAAAGTGGCCCCCCCAAAAAGTAAAATGACTTTTAAAAATCAATTTTTCCCCATTTTTATAGTTATGCAATCCTTTTATTTATTTTTTTAACCAAACATGCACCTACATAAAAAGTATCATCACAAAGCCAGTGTTTTTTTGTCCAACATTGTTCTGAGCATTTTTTACTCATTACTGCAATGATTGTTTAGCATGATTAATAATGCTTCTGAAAGAAAAATTTACTACTTAGTAGAACTGATGAAAACATTTTCTGTGACTGGTATTAGCATTCAACCGTGCTACTAATTTTTTCCAGCAGCTACGCAAGTTTGATTAGACTTTATTTTTCCGACTTTATTTTTCCATAATTAGCATGTAGTTGCTTAAACGAGGAAAGATAGCATATTTTAAGATGAAAAACGTAATTTCTAACATTTCCCTAAATATTGCTACCACCTCACAGCATAACATACTAAAAATGTTTACTTACAGTACTGTATCAAAATCCTGATGAGGATTTTTTTTGTCCTGATGTCAACCAACTTAAGCATATAGACTGACAATTACAGCCAGTTCAATAGATGTAAATGTTTGTAAACTAACACACGACACTTAATCAGTAACAAATCACAGTTTTAACTGGACAGTCTGAAAATGCTGCTCTAATATGTAAGTTCACAAAACACTTCACACATTCATAGCTTCATTTCCTTCTGAAGATGAATCTGGATCTGGTCATACAGAAACAGTTTTTAATGAACTTAATGTTTACATTTTTGCTCCCTGTTGAACTGCTGTTCATTCCATTTTGATTTTTTATTAATTCATCATCTGTGGTTCCAGTAATTTCTGTGCACAACAAAAACAGTGGTTGTCACCGCTTTGTTTTACTTGTCCTGCAATTTAATGTCAAATGTTTAAGTTGCAGTGTGTGCAACAGTCCCCTTCACTGACAGCTGTGTGTCCTTATTCAACAAATCAAGAATACCAGGCCTCCTGACACACACAGTGACCCACTGCAACCTCTTTCTCTCTGTACAACCATCTTGGTAGATTCTCAAGTAAAAACTAGATTTGAACGACAAAATAAAGTGCATGAATTATGTTTTTCAAGTTGTAATGATTAATGAAAAATTGGCCATGCAAAAGACATTTAGTTGGTGTGGCAATAAATCAAGGAGAGGAGATAACAATGAGGAGAGTTTTGATGATTTTGTCCAAAATCAAAATGGATACTTCTCTCAAATGATTTATTTCAAATTGAACACTTGAGTTTGTGCATGTATTTTTGTGTCTGTGGTGACTCTGTGAAGGCCTGGAAACTGGCTCAGAGTTTATCTCAGTCCTGCCTAGTGACTGCTGTAATAAGCTCTAGCACACTTTTTAACAGACAACAGTCAAGTGTGGAAAATTAATCCTTTGAGTTGGACCCATGAGTATTGTACTTTCTGAAAAGAGTGACTTTTTAATGAGTATTTTATTTCACTGCATAGACAGAGTTACATGTTGCTCCTCCATATGGAAAGCAATTTAACCACCAGATTGTAAATGTGTGGCTGACAAGTTCATTACATTGGGATAAATCTGAAGATTAATTTACATATTTTGGATTAGCAAGGGGAAACTCATCTCCACTAAGCAAACTGCACCATCATTCTGAACATATCATTGCTTATTGGGAATCAGAGCAGGCCATAATAAACATCTAAATGCATGGCACTGAATGTAAAGTGATGATATTTTTAGGTCTGAATTTGAGGGATTTACTATACATTGCTGTATTTTATACAACAATCTAAATATTTAAATATGGGAACAAATTGTAATTGCTGCATTCTCTGTAAAATATTCTTCTAGTTTTGTACGTGCTAAAGAAATTATGAAGCGATCACCACTTTTTGAATTGTTCTCATCACGTTCTGAGGTCTTTGTTTCATTGCAGTGGCATTATCATGTAGATTATGTGACAATCCCTCCAAAACCTTCCCATCATATTTACCATGTCTGAAAGTAACAGAACATCTTTAGTTAACAGTTGCAGCACTGGCAATTTTCTCAACAACAAACAAAGACTGTAAAACATTCCTGTAAAAGCTTTCATTTCCCCTCCCCTGTATTTATGAACCCTGTAATGTTTGTGTTTTGGATGGTAACTGTACTTTAAATGAATTATATTTGGAAGTTTTTGTTTCTGTTTTAATTGAATGGATAGCTGATTTGGGTGTGTAATCTAGATTTGTTTGATACAATAAAATGTTTAAGTTGGTGATGGGTTATGTTTCTTTGACTCGTATCCAGGGTCACTTTCTATGGCTGACACGTTATTTCAGAGTCGCTGTCAGAGTCAGGATGTGTGCCGTAAGCACAGTTGGTCAAAAATGTCTCCTAAATTGTCAAAAATAAGAGCGAGGCTAAACTTACCACTGCACCATTTGTTGTGGGTTTACTTGGGGTAGAGTTTGACTTAACCCTAAAAATAGACCTTTTAGCTTAAATAATTCATTATATTTTTACCCAAGAGTATAAAACCACATAAATTTTTTATGAAGAAGGCAGGATTCAACAAATGCATTTTGTGACACTGCAGCAATTTAAGTTACAAGTGATACCCCTACAGACAAAAAAAACACACTATTTTTAGAGCATTTGTAGGCAAAGTACATCATCATATATACTGTATTTTTATCAGATCTATTCAGAAAAAAGAAGAGTTGTGGTTAAAATATGTTGCAAAAATTACAAAATTATGTAGTTTAGATCTATGCATGACTTACAACTTTGAGTAAACTGGAGCGCTGTGGTTATTGTTTGCATTCTTAAATCATGAACACCAGAAAATGTTTGTTATAAGCAATGAAGTGAGGTGTGAGGCAATGGTAATCTTACAATAAATGTACTACATTTAAAAAATTAAAAAAGTATTTACATATTGGAAACCATTTACATCTTAATGTCTTTAGCTTAACCTCTGCTGAAAACAATCTGAAGTTTAATACTCAGTTGTGGCAGGGTTAGAGTAAAATATGTTCCTACTCTATGCCTCCTCCTGCTGGGGGAGTAGAAAATGTCAGAAAATGGTCACATTACTTGTAAATCCTGTTTTAGTGTCACTAGTTCCTGCTCAGTACAGAAGATTGAAAGTCACAGTACCTAACATTTTACACAGCTTGTGTTTCTGCCTTTGTCCAAGTTGAATTAATTGATTTAAAATTCTTGTCTAAATCCAAATGCTGAAAGTTAGTTTTGGTTCGACTGCATACTGCTACTACTCCCCAGTCATGGATTATCTAGAGCTATGATTAAATAGTTTTTGTTGTTGTTGTTTTGTTCTTCATAGTAGTTGCAACTTGCTCAACATTTCTGAATAGCTATGGCGCCTTATTGGAGCAGCCGAATCACCAGAGCTATGGTTGCTTAAATTTCTCTCTGAAAAAAAATTGTATGTTGTCCTGTGTTTACACTTTCCAATCCTTTGGGAAAACCCAGTGAAAAACCATTTGCATCCACTAACTATAAGTATCTGTTTTTAATCCCTCAAATATAACAACTGGCTCAGTTTAGCTTTGTTTCTCTCCCAGATTAAGCCACTAGAGACTCCTGGGCCAGGATTAGAATGTTGAGTTAAGACCAAAATATTTATTCCCCTGCAGATTTAGGTTCAAAATTATCTTTGTAAATCTGCCAAAGTTACTAATTTTTGGAATGGTCCACCCAGAGACCTGGCTTTAATCACATCTAGTCCATACAACAAACCTCAGTTTTCAGCAGATCTAGAAAATAAATGTCTTTCTAGTTTTACAATCATGTAAACCACCGAACCAGAATGTATCTGTGAACTTTAAATCAGTAAGGGTGTTTAAATGTTAATATATTATTACAAAACATCAGCTTCTCCTCTAAATTCTGAAGCACAAGTCCCTTTTGCTACATTTGTAATGTCGATAGTGGAGCAAAAATATGTGACTTGTGGGTAATTAGTATGCCCGTACAGCAGGAGGCGTTGTTAGACTCAGTATTAACAAACTGTAAAAACACCTTGCTTAAAATTGTGGAGACTGAGAGTTTTGTTGGCATCTTGCAGCTATCCATCAGCCTTTCAGCACATATTAAATCACCAAACATTGCATAAACTCTTTACAAGTTTATGGATAAATATTTATTAAATGTTTATTTAACAGAACGGAGAGGCCTCAAAATCATACAGAGTCATGCAAAGTTGAAAGTGGCTTCTAGTTTTAGTCTGCCTTGGGAAAGAGCTAAATGGTGATTTCACCTGATTATACCTTGAGTGTATTTAAAAGTTGTATTAACTACAAAGTAAAACCTTACTTTGAAGTGTCAGAACTACAAAGTTTTGACACTTGAAACCTGGGCTAAATTGTTCTACACTAATAGAATTACTCACACCCAGTTCTATCTGACTTCACAGTTACAAGGTACAAATACTTTCCACCAAATACCTCCACGTGGTTACTTCAGATAAATATTAGCAAACCACCAATTTAAATGTTAGAAATATATAAAAAGTAAAAGGCCAGAATTTGAAACCAGGCATTATAAATCTGAAAACTGGTGCAAAATAAGTAAAAGTACTGCACTCAGCCCCCATAGAAACTGTTAAATAAGTCACATAAGTCAAAATGATGTATGTTTAGAGTTTAATGCAAGATAAATATGTCTGTGTAGTTCTATAACTACAACTGGAAAAAAATGTTGTGTTTAAGTGGAAATTTAAATTAAAATGTCTGACAACTAAATGACATGACCAGCATGTCGACTTTCCATTTAAATTACTGTGGTGTACTTCTTACTCTTGAAATAAGACACAATGACATAGTATGTATTGCACATCATCTTACCTTTGGAAGATGACCTTAAGTCTAATCATGCCTCCTTTTCTGCCACACATTACAACAAAAAATTGTGTGCTTTTTACAAAAAGTGATTCCCAGCCTCAGTTTAACAGTGTAGAAATTCTTGGTAACAAGCCCAAATCATAAGAATGTCTCTTCTACTGTTTTGTATTTTCACTGCTGTCTTGCAGAGATTTTTCTGACTGCTCCTCCTCCATGGATCGTTGTTCTTTTGTAACGCTGGAGTCAGAAAATCCTGGAGGAAATAAAAGGTTGGAAAAGGCATTGGAAAATTTTGATAAGCTGAAAGAAAAACAAAGAACGTTTATCTGTTAATCTCAGCATGAGATCACTCCAAAATGAATTAAGATAACAAATCAAATCAAAGGGATGGAGCCAAGATGCTTCAGCTTTGCCAGGATGGGGGATATTTTTTTTTTTACAACAAATCATCTATCAGACTGCAGAAGAAGTTTTCAAAATTGCATTTCTGGTACCATGAATTATTTTTTTACATCAAAAGAAAACATGTCAGAGTTGAATTACTTAAAAAAAAGCATTACAAAAGTGCCTATATTTTTGTTCTTTTTGTGAAGTATGTGCTTTTAGAGAAAGCAGCCATACACAGAAACCTACCATTTGAGCCACTCTCTTTCCATTTGAGCTTGTTGTCTTCTGTGTGTCGAGTCCAAGTCGAGCGAAAGCTCACCAGCTCAGCTGTGATGTGTGCCAGACTCCACTGCAGACCCCTGGAGCTCTCCTTCCAGAGATTACTGAGAGCAAATAACAATTGATTTTCATGCTGACATTCAAATGAATCCTGAACACTAAAGCAGTCCAGACTTTTATATGGACGTCCCAGGAATAGATCAATCATACATTGTTTTCCCACTGAAGAAATAGAGGAAGATCTTTAAATATGCGACAAACAATTAAATCATGGACTTTTCTATAAGTAAATTTCCCAGTATTTGTATAATTTTTTATAATTCAATTCCTAAAATACTATAAAGGAATGAACCATTGACAAAACAGTTCCAAATTGATTTTTGTCCCTTTCCAGTATAATTTATTCAGAAGTAATTAATTCACATTTATATAATTACAATAATAAACCTTTAAAGTGTAAAAGAAAACTGCTGGAACATTTGGCTTGGGGAAAAAAGAAAGAAAAGAAAAAGAGTGCAATATTGTTGATCGACTTTTTGTATTGCATAACAAAAGTAAATGAGAAAAAATGAATTCAGTTGAATTGATAAATAACATTATTTCATCATGCAAGGTAGAGTTTGGATTTAAAATTCAATTAATTTGCTTCGTTTTGGGGATTTTGTTTGGGCTGCTCAATTTTGACCTGTAGGAGAAAGGGAGTAAACAGAAAGTTAGGATCGCAAGAGAATTGCATTTTATCTTGTTAGGCCAAAAGATAAAATATGTCTATCTTTCATTAATTTTTACAATAAACATAAATATTTCCATGTCTTAATTTATCCTTATTTTTCTTTTAAAAAATACTCAGACAATTAAGTTCAGTCAAGAATAAATTATCGGTCAGTTTTTTTGTTGTTGTTTTGTTTGTTTTTATTTATTGATGGCCTCATTTCTGTGCATTGATACCCTCTTTACATTCAATTCCGTTGAACAGCAACTAAACAAAATCTAATTTACATACTGTCACATCCTCTTTCTTTCAGAGCATGTAAATGTGGGGTAAAATTGTCTGCCGTGTCTCGCTCAGTTCGGACTTCCCTTTGTCAGCAGCTGTCGTTCTCAGGCTTGGATCGGGTACATTTTGTCGACAGTGCAGATAATGTTATTGTGAAGGAGACTACAGTCTAAAGGCCCCCACATACTGAGGCGTGCTGTGCCTTAACTCACCTCTCAGTGCGGCACAGAGAATGGCAGTCACATATCAAGCACAACTGTGATCGGTGTAATAATTTGTGCAGCAATGGAAATTGAGCACAAACCCGATCATTCTTTCCTCGCCATTGTTCGAGAAAAAAAGAGAAAAGTCAGGCTCAACTTATTGGACCACCTCTCTGCTCTGCTATAAAGAAGTCTGGCATGATGTCTTATTTTTTGTTCATAGAATTCTGCATAATTCACCGTGTCAATATCGGCAGGAATTTATAAAGCTTGTTGCTGTCAAGCATTTTCGCTTACATGTCTATCACATCCCCATGACAACTTTATGTTGACTTTTATCATGTTGATGTTAACTTTGAAACAATATGAACTCACATAACCCTTATTCTGAACCTTAACAGGCCGGTGTAACATGAAAAACAGGTTGATATGAACACTGTTTTCCACCGGGTGGTTTATTGTATGACACCGAGTATGCCTACGAGGTCATAAAAATTATGCTTGCACGGACTGAAGTGTGTCCGAGTACGTTGGGGCCTTTAAG